CCTGAGACCTCGACAATTGCCACCTCGACCGCTGAGACTACTACAGTCCCGACATCTTCAGCTGAGACCTCGACAATCGCCACCTCGACCGCTGAGACTACTACAGTTCCGACATCTTCAGTTGAGACCTCGACAATTGCCACTTCGACCGCTGAGACTAGTACAGTTCCAACATCTTCAGCTGAGACCTCGACAATTTCCACCTCGACCGCTGAGACTACTACAGTTCCGACATCTTCAGCTGAGACCACGACAGCCGAGACCTCGACAATTGCCACCTCGACCGCTGAGACTAGTACAGTTCCGACATCTTCAGCTGAGACCTCGACAATTGCCACTTCGACCGCTGAGACTAGTACAGTTCCAACATCTTCAGCTGAGACCTCGACAATTGCCACCTCGACCGCTGAGACTACTACAGTTCCGACATCTTCAGCTGAGACCACGACAGCCGAGACCTCGACAATTGCCACCTCGACCGCTGAGACTAGTACAGTTCCGACATCTCCAGTTGAGACCCCGACAATTGCCACTTCGACCGCTGAGACTAGTACAGTTCCAACATCTTCAGCCGAGACCTCGACAATTTCCACCTCGACCGCTGAGACTACTACAGTTCCGACATCTTCAGCTGAGACCACGACAGCCGAGACCTCGACAATTGCCACCTCGACCGCTGAGACTAGTACAGTTCCGACATCTTCAGTTGAGACCTCGACAATTGCCACTTCGACCGCTGAGACTAGTACAGTTCCAACATCTTCAGCTGAGACCTCGACAATTTCCACCTCGACCGCTGAGACTACTACAGTTCCGACATCTTCAGCTGAGACCACGACAGCCGAGACCTCGACAATTGCCACCTCGACCGCTGAGACTAGTACAGTTCCGACATCTTCAGTTGAGACCTCGACAATTGCCACTTCGACCGCTGAGACTAGTACAGTTCCAACATCTTCAGCTGAGACCTCGACAATTTCCACCTCGACCGCTGAGACTACTACAGTTCCGACATCTTCAGCTGAGACCACGACAGCCGAGACCTCGACAGCCGAGACCTCGACAGTTGCCACCTCGACCGCTGAGACTACTACAGTTCCGACATCTTCAGTTGAGACCTCGACAATTGCCACTTCGACCGCTGAGACTAGTACAGTTCCAACATCTTCAGCTGAGACCTCGACAATTTCCACCTCGACCGCTGAGACTACTACAGTCCCGACATCTTCAGCTGAGACCTCGACAATCGCCACCTCGACCGCTGAGACTACTACAGTCCCGACATCTTCAGCTGAGACCTCGACAATTGCCACCTCGACCGCTGAGACTAGTACAGTTCCGACATCTTCAGCTGAGACCTCGACAATTGCCACCTCGACCGCTGAGACTACTACAGTCCCGACATCTTCAGCTGAGACCTCGACAATCGCCACCTCGACCGCTGAGACTACTACAGTTCCGACATCTTCAGCTGAGACCTCGACAATTGCCACCTCGACCGCTGAGACTACTACAGTTCCAACATCTTCAGCTGAGACCTCGACAATTGCCACCTCGACCGCTGAGACTACTACAGTCCCGACATCTTCAGCTGAGACCTCGACAATTGCCACCTCGACCGCTGAGACTACTACAGTTCCGACATCTTCAGCTGAGACCTCGACAATTGCCACCTCGACCGCTGAGACTACTACAGTCCCGACATCTTCAGCTGAGACCTCGACAATTGCCACCTCGACCGCTGAGACTAGTACAGTTCCGACATCTTCAGCTGAAACCTCGACAATTGCCACCTCGACCGCTGAGACTACTACAGTTCCGACATCTTCAGCTGAGACCTCGACAATCGCCACCTCGACCGCTGAGACTACTACAGTTCCGACATCTTCAGCTGAGACCTCGACAATCGCCACCTCGACCGTTGAGAATAGTACAGTTCCGACATCTTCAGCTGAGACGTGGACAATAGCCACTTCGACCGGTGAGACTACTACAGTTCCAACATCATCAGCTGAGACGTCGACAATTGCCACGTCAACCGCTGAGAGTACTACAGTTCCGACATCATCAGCTGAGACTTCGACAATTGCCACCTAGACCGCTGAGAGTACTACAGTTCCAACATCATCAGATGAGACCTCGACAATTGCCACCTCAACCGATGAGACTAGTACAGTTCCGACATCTTCAGCTGAGACCTCGACAATTGCCACGTCAACCGATGAGACTACTACAGTTCCGACATCTTCAGCCGAGACTTCGACAGCCGAGACCTCGACAATTGCCACATCGACCGATGAGACTAGTACAGTTCCGACATCTTCAGCTGAGACTTCGACAATTGCCACCTCCACCGCTGAGACTACTACAGTTCCGACATATTCAGCAGAGACCTCGACAATTGCCACCTCGACCGATGAGACTACTACAGTCCCGACATCTTCAGATGAGACCTCGACAATTGCCACCTCGACCGATGAGACTAGTACAGTTCCGACATCTTCAGGTGAGACCACGACAGCCGAGACCTAAACAATTGCCACCTCGACC